TCTACCGTAGTGGCTAAGCCGTTGGGTTAAAGAAATCAAGAATAAATAATGGGAAACTGTTGGTACGGAGCAGCTCATGTAGAGAGGTCGCGTTATGAATCTAACAGTTTTTCTAAGTAAGAGCGATCTGGTATTTAATAGGGTTTAAGTAAAAAGAACTATCTCATGGGAGAAAAAGATCATTGGTAGCAGCAGGTAGCCACGAGTGGCGCCCTGGAGAGGCGTCGACGAGCGACTAGCTGCTGCGCCGAAAGTTCCTTTATGAAGGACGTTAAATTATAAAGATTTAACAAGAGAATGTGAACGAGTGACATGTGATGAGTTTCAAAAGGGAGTCCAAGTGATTAAAAAAAAAATATTTTTGTATGTATTGTAAGACCAGTTTTTCTCGAAGAATAGAATATAGTGATACTGTATGGATGGAAAAAACCATTAAAACAATTAAATTCGCTCCGTTGAAAACGAACTTGAATGGAAAAGAATTAGTTTTTTGGTTCCTATATTTTTTTTTGGCTTTAGAATTTGCATTTAGTAAAGTAGATGATCAGCTAGAACAGGGTATGTCGTTTTCGATTTTGGATAAATGTATGAAAAAGAAGAGAATAATTGGAAATTGTATGATTGTTTCCGTCTTATGAAAATGTTTATTAATTATGTGAGTAATTTGCTGTAACTATCGAATGGGTTTTCGCTATTTATCAATTAAATGTAGGGGATAAGAGTGAATACACTATTGAAGTTGGTCCTATTTGATACTTATAAGAAAGGTTCTTTCGTGTGTTTTAATCTATCATCTGGGGAAATATATGCATGGATAGGCGTGGGTCTCAAACTGGGAGTTGGCATTAGTTTATCATATGCTATTATAACTATTATGAAAAGTGATACGTTTAAGCTGGTATATTTTCGAGAATTCTGATATGTGCAATGTCTAGCTACTGTTATTCGAAGAAAATACTTTTGAAAAGATATATGTGAATCAAGTTGTAGCTTTTGTATTACATGGACAATAAGAGCCTTTCGTTCAAGTGAACTTATGTAAAAGGAGAATTTAGCCGTGGTTGGTGTCCAAAAGAGGCGCCAATGAACTGTTAATCGTTAATATTGGAAGCATACTACAGTGTGACCTCAATAAAGATCTTTGTACCGGTTAGACATTTTGAAGAATAGTACACTAAGATTTCCTTAATGAGAACTTCAAAGAAAACTGTGATTTCTCAGCTCTAAAATCAAACTGCGAAAATGAGAAATAATTCATGAGAAAACTTCTTTTTGAAAATTCTTGTCGACAATCCTAACCCTTTAGATCTAACGAAGTTTTGCAATAGTTAATCCTGAAGCAGGTGAATTTAAAATACAGGGAAATAATGTTATGAAAATATGGGATTAGACCTGGCAGCAGTTACCCGCGAGTGGCGCCGACGAGCGACTAGCTGTTACACTGTGTTATCTCCAGAAATGTCCCTTCGAAGTGTTGGGATTCGTTGAATAAAAGTCAATAGTCCAGGTCAAATGGGTCTGAATAAGGAATATCAAATACAAAAAGTTGGAAAAAGTATGTCAAGTCAAGGATAAGAAATCGTTTTTATGTTTGGACAAAATAACTGAATAATTAGTCAGAATAGAAACATTAATGGAAGAATTTACATATGCTGTATCGGTAGCGGACATGAATGAAATAAAACAGTGTTTCTTTTGGTATATGCTTTTCTTTGTATCAGTTCAAGTATCTGAATGTATATTGATATGTTCAGATTACTTGTCAAGTCTTGTCACTACTTTGCACAAGAGCTTGTTGTATGCATGATATTTAGATTAGAGATCAGATATAATATGATTTGTTTTAAGCTAGAGGTTTCACTGAGCTTCTACTTTCTTAGAAAACTCTATAGTAAATAGCATTATCGATGAATGTTCTAGAATGTATTCAAATTTTTAGTAGAATTTTCAAAAAGTATTCTGCATTTTCGTTCAATTTTTGTGAACTTCTATTGCTACGCGGTCTCTGAAAAATGGAATATAATATCTTGTTCAGTCGAGGGTTCAGCGAGTCGAAGCGACGAGCGTTACTTGTTCATTAATGGTAATATTGTATACGTCTGATACTGATAAAAAGATCGAATCAAGTTTGTCATATCGATTATATCATTGATATGACAGATCAATACCTATTATTACTCTTTACTGTTGATTTTTTATGTGCAACTTTAAGTTCTAAAATATAGGCAGTAATTACATTATTAAAAACTTTAACAAATTTATATTAGTTTTTTTCCAATATTTATGAAAACATTGCATTATTGTATGGCAGTCAAACTCATGTTCTTCATACTGTTCAACTCTCCTTTTATTCTAAAATAAAGTTGAAGTATTTTTATGTCCGGTTGCCGAGGTCTCTAATGAGGTTATCTGTAATGAGAGTGTCTGTAATAAGGGTGTCTGTAATAAGGGATATGTCTGTAATGTTCTCTTTATCCATTACTATCTGTCTGTAATGAGATGGAGGGGAAGTGGAGAGAGAAGCCGCCAAACCTCGAACTTGAAACTTACACTCACTATTTTCTTCAAAAATAGACGTGAGTTCCATAAGAAGTCAAAAAACAGGTATATTTTGAAAATATTCATTATTTTTTCAAACGAATCTAATTCATTTTTAAAAAATAATATAAATTAGTTAGCTAGAGTGAAATATGCCACTTTGTAGAAGATTTCATAGCCCATCTTTTTATAGAAAAAATTAATTCTTTGGTTTAAAAAGAAAAAGTATTAGAGAGAAAATAGAAAGATGCTCATTTATTTTGAGTCACCCGTTATATGCAGAGTTAATATCTTGTATAAGCATTTTCATTCATGCGCATTTATTTTATACATGTCTTAAAAAAAATGATGTTCACATGTACACTACCCTACGCATACATCGAATTTATGCATGCATAATGCATCAATATGAACATAATATTAGTAAGATATATCATTGTTTTATTTTTATATAGTATAGTATCTATTGTTTCACAACCTTCACAGTTGTGACATTTGATTGTTCTTGGTATTCTTTTCTTTTTTTTCATTTATACGACATCGATACTCGATCAATGCATAACCGCTAATGCCCGTCGAAAGAAATACAAGGAGAATAATAAGTATAGATCGAATGCGTATGTAAGGTGTGATAATATAAAAGAAAGCGAATCCAACTGACTCCCAGAGACGATAGTTTGAAAAACCTGCTTCGCTGTTGTCAACAAATAAAACACCATAGAAAGCATTCGTTTGTGTTTGCCAAACGGCATCAGCTACACCCCAGAGACCAGCTATAATAAAAAGAATAACTATTTGATCACTAGAAGGATGCCAAACAAGCATGGTAATTATTAGCGAATAGCTAATAAGTGTAGCAATGGCAAAGCATGACCAACGTCCGACATGTTTCACGAGTTGACCAAAAACAAAACTGCTAATAGAATCACATAAACCATAAGCTATCAATATAAGACCGACATATTTGGGATTGAAGGTACATGAAATAAAAGCCTAATCATGAAATTAGCCAAACTATTTATATTTTCTAATAAGAAAACAATTATGAGCACTCACTTTAGTAAATTGAGTAAAAAGAAAGGTTTGTTCCAGACCTGACCATATAGTTAATGGAATGAGAAGAAGTTGATTGATTTCACGCATATGTTTGATTGTTGATATGAGCAATTTTAAAGACTTACGAACCATAACCGAAATTTTTTCTATAAATAAAAAATTCAAATATTAGAAAATCTAAACAAGAATATTATACCATGAGATGCTGTACGTCGCTGATCAAGAAAAATAATCAAAATAATCATTGAACATATACATAAACATACGTAGATTATACAGAGAAGATCAATCTAAAAAAAAAAAATTTTTTTATATGATTCCAACCAAAAATCATTATAATACCGTTTTCCGATCAATTTTCTTGGCAACTTGTGCGCCTTGATATTCTTGTTCACTGAAATCAGCTCCACATTTGTCATACATTCTGAACAATAATTCTGTGTTATTATGAGTTCTATTAGTAGAAGAAAACGCTTTATCTTCTGGTGTAAGTACCAAATAAGATATAAGATTTCCCCAAATTTGAGCTATAAGATGATAAGAAGAAAAGAAGAAAGTGATGATATAGTGTGTAGAAAAGAAAAGAATGAGAAACCTGATTGAGAAAACATAAAGAAGACCCCAAAAAAACGATTGATGATTGCATTCTGGTCGTGACCTTTTTCAAGAGCATAGTTTGCACCCGTATCGGTGAGATAGCTACATTTCGATGTCCATAAAGGGGCAGCAGCAAGACCAACAAGTGCAGCAGCTATAAACGAAAGATTCAACTGTATATGAAATCAGAAAGACTCTTACTTGGATACATTAAATACGCTTTTGGATAGTAGTTGGCGGCCAAAAAAACGACATAGCTAAGAAAAGCGAGTAAATATAGATTTCAAATGAAATTCGATAATTATTGGATATGAAAAAACCTAATGTAAAGCTTAGACTTAGTTTGCTAAAATTATTCCAGAATTAATTGTGAAAGTAGTAATCCTCTATGAGCAGATCCACAGTTTTTATGCATTCAGATTGACTCTCGAAATAATATTGACTTAAAATCATTCGTATAGCTTGTTTAGAAAATGTTATTTGATTTAGAAATAAAACCAAATTGATAGAATAGGGACTAGCATCAAGAAAATACGGTTTTGTAGCGCCTACACTCTAAAAAATTTCCGTATCCTAGAAAACCGAAAGGGGTTCGGAAACCCACTCGGAAACCCTTATCCGTTTCCGAGAGGGTTTCAGAACAGTGAAAGCGTTTCTAAAAATACCCCTTCGGTTTCCGAACGTTCGGAAACCTAGAGGTTTCCTACACTCCCCAATTGGATACTCTAAAAGTATTCTAGAATACCTTTTTCTTGCTGTCGGAAACCCAAATGTTGTCTCGGAAACTGAAAACGTATTGTCGAAAACCCATATTAGAAGAAAAACTGAGTTAGTATCCGAAAGGGTATGCGAAAGTACCTTTTCATTTTCTGAACGGTTTCCGAAAAAACCCAATTTCAAAAGGGTATCATAAGAATCCAAAAGGGGTTTACGAAAATACCTAAATTGAAAATGGTGTCACAGTCAACTAAAATAGGAGTCCGAACTTTCATTGAACATTATAAAGGGTTCCGGATGATTTAAACATTTCGTACTCTCAAAAAAAAAGGCGTCATACTGAACCATTTGGATTCAAAAATGCTTCTACCGAAGATACTGAACCTTTCAAGGTTTTATTCGTTTATTAATAAACCATCGAGGGTTCTAGCGACTTTAAAGAACCATTGTAGATCATGCATAGTTCCGGGTGTTTGAAAGGGTTCTGTCTTGCACCATTTTTTTTACGCTGAATCATTTTTCCAAAATGGTTCTGGCTAAAACCAAGATGCGATATTTTCTGAACATGATTTAACTAATGTAAATCTGAAATAGGTTATCGAGGTCTAGGAATCCGAATCCGTCATCATTTTTTCGATCCGAGCTCCCATTGGTCAGAAATTGGGTCCATCAAAAATTCGACAGCTGCAAAATTAGACTTTTTATTTCAACTCCGATCTGAATTCTGACCAAAGTTTGAAATAGGTTATTGAGGTCCAGAAATCCGAATCCGCCATCATCGATTTCGACCCTGGGGATCCGATTCGGATTACTCAACCCGGGCATTCGGTGTATTCCTATCGGATCCTTATAAGATGCGATGGGATTCGATCAGAATGCTGTGGGAATTGGCCGGCTCCAATCAGATCCCATTGTTGGATTCATGAACCTGTGCAGGTGTGTCTCGATAAGCAATTCAATAATAAGTGGTAACTTATAAAATGTGATTATTCTGTTACCTATTTTGATATGTCACAATTATTGATAGAAAGGTAATTGCAATCTGATTAAATGACTTCAATATTTTCTTTATTTAGGTATGTAACAATAATCGATTGAAATGCGAGTTCAATATGATTAAATGAGTTAATGTTGTTATCTATTTGGGAATTTGTAAATAATCAATTCAGTGGTAAGTTCAATCTTACAATATAAGTTACTCTTCTTCTTTTTGTTTAGGATCGTCTCAACAACACGTAACGACGATGCCCTTTTTGTGCGAATAGAGAACGAAGCGTTGGCTCTTATTGTGCTCACAACAAATCTACAGGGTGTCCCAAAAGTCCCCAAGAAAAGTTTTCGTAAATATCTCTTATACAATTCAAGCAATTTAATCGTTTTTTTAATAACATGATAGCATATTCTTTTAAGTTTTATTTTAATAACAAAGCCGTTAACAGATATTATTTTGAACTGTCACTTTTGACTTCAATATCAAAATGTATCCATTTTCGATTTTTCAAAAATACGAGTACCCGAGATGATGAAAAGCTTTTGAGCCCATATGATGATTAGACACTTTTGAGATCATATTTTTCCTTTTGCTACACGACCACTCTACTACAACGACCTCCAAAAGGTTCATGCTTTTATGCAGTTTTGGCTGAGATGTGAAATTTTTAGTGGGTTATGTCCATGATGACCCCCATTTTCAAAAGACAATTATGGTTTCGAATTTTGACCTGAAACTTTGCCCAAAGCGAAGTCTCGCTCAGACTAGCTTCTGTGCAAAATTTTAGAACTTTTGGATCTAGTATTTTTGAGATATGCATTTTTCAAATTTTGCAAAAGTTACATGGACAAACGCCTAAATTTTGAAAAATTCATATCTCAGAAAAACTACATCGAAAACTTCTGAAATTTTATACAGAAGCTAGTTTGAGTGAGCCCTCGATTTGGTCAACGTTTCAGGTCGGAATAAGTATCTCGGGAAATTTCCTTCGAAAATGTTAGTTTAGAAATCGAAAGTGGGTACATTTGGATATTGAAGTCAAAAGTGACAGTTCAAAATAGTATCTGTTAATGGTTTTGTTATTAAAATAAAACTTAAAAGAATATGATATCATGTTATAAAAAAACCGATTAAATTGCTGAAATTGTATAAGAGATATTTACAAAAACTTTTGTTGGGGACTTTTGGGATACCCTGTAGGTAAATATAACACAGAAATAAGGGTTAGGGATAGTTTTAATGGTTAAGGATAGGAATTAGGATTAAGGATAGGTTTAAGAGTTAAAGATAGAAATAAGGGTTAAGGATAGGTTTAAGGGTTAAGGATAGGAATTAAGGTTAAGGATAGAAATAAGGGTTAAGGATAGGTTTAAGGATTAAGGATCGGAATTAGGGTTAAGGATAGGTTTAAGGGTTAAGGATAGGAATTGGGATTAAGGAAAGATTTAAGGGTTAAAGATAGAAATAAGGGTTAAGGATAGAAATTACGGTTAAGGATAGAAATTACGGTTAAGGATAGAAATTAGGGTTAAGGATAGAAATTAGGGTTAAGGA